GCCATACTGCTTTCCACAATGGTTGTACCATTTTACAGTCCCACCAGCAGTGTATGAGAGTCCCAATCTCTCCACAACCTGGCCAGCATTTGTTGTTTTCTGTCTTGTTGAACTTTGCTACTAGTGCTGGTATGCTATTCTTTTGTAACTCAGGTGATTAGGTTTCATCCTATAGTGATATCACCTCATTAACATAACAAAGAAAATCAAAATAGGATTACATGTACCTATATAGGAGTTAGAATTTTAAAATATATTTTAGGAGGATACAGTTTAATCCATAATGCCCACGAAATAGATTATTGCTTAGGGAACTTGCAAATTTATAAAAATGAAGAAAGGACATTTTAGCATATTAAGATATAAAGGCTAAGATATCAGTGATGCACATAACACAGAGGAGATAGAGCTTGTTGAGTTGCAGGGGTCAAAGGAGTCTTCAGGGCGTGGTGGAGTGATGGAAGTGATTATTTTAGCTATTTCTGAGAATAAATGAAATGTGCGTTTTTGCTAAGGATGGGTTGTGGCTAGGGGAAGGCCATGTACGTGAGTGAAGACAAATAGACTAACCCCAGAGAAAGTTGGAAGCGTTTGGGGTTTAGAATGCTTTTATCCTGGAGAAAACTGGTTTTGAAGGATTTTGAGAAGTTGACAGTTTGAAAGGAATAAAATATTTGAATATTTTCAAAATGACATTTTTTAAATACATATTTTAGTACATAACAGTAACAAAATTTAAAAAATTAAAGATCACCCGTATTCCTACCACTCTGACAAAACAAAATTATTTCATTGGAAACATCTTTGCATATGTGTTTTTTAGGCTTACACATTTTTTCCTTTTAATATGTCATAGTTATTTTCTCCAATTTGCTCATAGTCTTGATACCAGTTTTATAGCTGCTTTTTATACTCTATATCAGCCCTGTGACCCTGAGCAAGTTCTTTGAACTCTCTGAACGTTGGTATACTTAACCCAAAATTATGTTTTTTAGAAATTTTTTAGGAATAAACATTTGTCTGCTAACCAGATCAGTGGTTCAAACCCACCAACTGCTCCACAGAAGGAAGATGAGGCAGTCTACTTCTGTAAAGATTTACAGCCTCAGAAACCCAATGGGGGTCGCTATGAGTTGGATTCAACTCGATGGCAGCAAGTTTGTTTTTTTTTTAAATATACAGTTGTGAAAATCCAAATCAGTGATGTATTCCTTAGAGCTTAGCACTGTTCCTAGTACATATTAAGATATTACTGCTATAAAAGACAATTCTGATTTTGAATATTCTGCCCCAGAGTCAGACTGTGGTCACTATAATTTCTAGGATAAAGCATGTCTTTCTGACTTTCTTTTTGTTGATTGAAAAACACTTGAATACTTACATGTCCCAGGCACTGTTTTAGGCCCTGACTAGGCCAGTGATCAAGTGGTCCCAACCCTCTTAGAGCTTACATTACAGTAAAAGGATATTGACAGTCAATATAAACAATACACATAAACTTATCGGCCAGATAGTGCGAAATCCTGTGCAGAAAAATAAAGCTGGATAATGGGATAGAGATGGGGACTTTGGTGGTTCAGTAGTTGCCTTTCACTTGGGAGACCCAGGTTCATTTTCCAGCTAGAGCACCCCATGTGTAACCACTACCCACCCTGTCACTGATGGCTTACATGTTACTGTGATGCTGAACAGTTTTCAGCGGAGCTTCTAGACTAAGATGGACGAGGAAGAAAGGCTTGGGGAGCTACTTCTGAAAATCAGCCAGTGAAAACCCTATGGATCATAATAGTCTGATTTGCAACTGATCATGGGGGTGGTGCAGGACAAGGCAGCGTTTCATTCCATTGTGTGTGACATTGCTATGAGTTGGGGTTGACTTGTTGGCAGCTAACAACAATGGGATAGGGAGTGGTAGAGGACAGGGGGGGAGAAAAGAGAAGATCTTTTTGATGAAGTGAAGTTTAAGTGAAGACCCAGTAAAGTACGAGATGAGCAAATACCAGCTTAAGGTGGAGTGTGATAGACATGTTGGAAGGATGAGAGGAGGGCACTGTGGCTGAAGAGGGGGGTTGTATACCTTCCTCTGCCCTAGCTCCCTTTTGGTCCTGCTTTCTTCTTTGTAAACACAGTTTGAAATATCAGAAGCTGGCCTTAAATATCTTGCTTTTCTTCTCTAGTGAAGCCTTCCTGGCTCCCTACTTTGGGGTTCCTGGAAGAACAAAATTGGGTTTGGTTTGCAGGGATCACTGACGTTTCGGGAGGTGGCCGTGTACTTTACCCAGATTGAATGGAGACACCTGGATGCCACTCAGCAGGCCTTGTACAGAGATGTGATGCTGGAAAACTATGGGAATCTGGTGTCCATGGGTGAGGATGTCTTCTCCTTGTCTCAGATTTGGTCTGCTGGGCAAATTTGTGTTTTCACAGGGTAAATGATTTGGGGTATTTAAAGTTATTAAGAGAGATTTTTGTTTTGATTTTTGCTTATGCTCCTTCCATTCCTCAGAAATGTCAGAACTATACAGACTTTAATGTGGGCAGCTTTGTCATGTGAGCTAGCCCAGTTATCTAAATTTTTCATGCCAGGATGCATTTGCTTCCAAAAATAGGAGTTTCTTACCCTCAAGGAGGACTCAAGTTTCTCAGTGACTTCCCTCTTACATTTTCTGTGATATGGACATCCTTTATAGTACCCTCTAGGCTCCTCGTAAACATATCCATGCTCCTTACAGACCCCTAAGTTGGGAGTGAGTTCTGGGATGATTCTTCATGCTTATAAACACAGTCACAGTCTTTTTCTTTCTTTATAAACAGGACTTCTCTCTTCCAAACCAAAACTAATCACCCAGTTGGAACAAGGAGCAGAGCCCTGGATTGAGATTCGAGATGTTCCATCAGGTATCTGTACAGGTAAGTGAGATGGGAGCCATTTCAAGTAGCAGCTCAGCACACAAAACAGCAAGGAAGAGCAAGTTGGGGATCTTGGTAAGAAAGCTCATCTTAGGAGCTCCCATATCTGTGCAGAAGAGCTGGGGCACTTGACACTAGTTTCTTCTTTTGATATCATCTTCATTTTCAGTGACATGCCATTTTTCTCAATCCTTTGCTCCTGTGGAAAGATGAGCTCCCTTCATAAGGGCTTTAGTCTCTTGTACCATTTTTTCCCGTCTCTTTTAAACCCTTTAATCAGGTCATCTTCTGCATTCTGTCCATTCTCAATTCCTTCCAGATTCTCTCATGGTTAGCTTGTTAAATACTGTATAATCCCTTTGTTGTTTCTTACCTGTTTTAGAGCTTTTTATGTGACACCTAACAATTGGCTAAACCCACTTGATGAATTTTCAATTTTGGAATTGCTTCTAGTACTGCCGTCGAGTCAGATCTGACTTATAGCGACCCCTCCTTGGGTTTCCAAGGTGGTATCACTATGGAAGTAGAATTGCCCAACCTTCCGTCCGATAAGTGGCTGGTGGGTTTGAACCACCAGCCTTCTGGTTAGCAGTCAGATATCTTAGGCACTACACCCCCAGAGCTCCTATTAGAAACCTATTATGCCATAATTTTTCAATTTGAGAAAGAGAAAACAGAATCAGAGATAGTACGTCACTTATTCTGGTCACATAGTGGCAATGGCAGATTCCAAATGTACGCGTCATTTCCTAACTTTTGATCAGTGTAACTTTCGGCAGACTGATGCGGAAGCATTTTCCTCCCTTTTTTTTTTAATTTTTTTTATTTTTTTTAATTTTTTTAGGATTTGGGTGATTTACAGAGTAAATTCACTTTTCATACAGCAGTTCACATATACTTTGTCTCATGTCATTGACC